GAACCGGGATCATATATATATATGTGTGTGTGTGTGTGTGTGTGTATTCCTGAAGATTCTTTTTTATATCCACACTGTACTATGCCCCAAAACCGCACGTCAACAAACTGTCCCAGGCAACTGCTACAGTACCTGCTCGAGCGTGGGTACTGCGAGTCTTTCGAGGCCTTCAGCGGACATTCGAATGGGGTTTCTCGACTGTGGACCCTAAACCCCATACCCGAAATGCTTAGGAGTTTAGAGTTTCAACGTTCGGTTCTTCGGGCTTCGGCTTGCATTCGAGTTGTGCAGACTTCGGTTCAGGATCTGGGGCTTTATAGGTTTTTAGGGTTTCTAGAAGGGTTCTATGGCGTTCTATGGAGGCTTTAAGTGGTGATGGTCTCCAAGCCCGTGCAACACGGCGACTACAATTTAGGGCCCAGTGTCGAAATCTCCCGGATTGTCGCAGTAGCGGCAATGCTGAAAAGCAAACGAACAGGGTTTAGGGTTTGTAGGGTTGCGCAACTACGACAGTCGGAGGAACAACAACCAGCGGCAGCAACAGCATCAGCAAGTGCACCAGCACAACCAGCAACAGCACCAGCACGAGCACGAGTACAAGCAGAAGCAGCACCAGCACTAGCACCTGCACCAGCACCAAAACCTGCACCAGCACGAGCAACAGCACGAGCGGCAGCAACAACAACAGCAGCAGCAGCAACAACAACAACAACAGCAGCATCAGAAGCAACGACAACCATACCAACAAGAACCAATCCACGACGGAAGCAGCGACGGCAAACCCTAGTCCAGGGTTTAGTAGTGTAGTGATCCACTCCCGTTCATATATTATATTGTCGAGCCATGACCTGCGTGGCCTTAACTAGCTCATTTCAGAAACCACAGCCTGACTGATCTTGAAGCCCAGTGGCAGGTGGGTGAAGCCTCCCAGACAGCTGGCATTATCAAGTGGCCCGGCTGAGCTCGTGGGCCTTTTTCACAGTTTCTCGTGACTTGAGTGTTTAGCTGGTTAGGGTTTACCTTAGGGTTTAGGGGAGTTGCAACAATTCTTCGAGAATTTGAGTCTTGCTGCATAGCATAGTTGCTCCGGCTATGGTTCAAGACTCTTCTCTTCGGGTCTTGTGTTGATGGTTCGGGCTCCTATCGTTGGAGGTGCTTCGAACTGGAGGAGGGAGCTCGGTGTCGAGGCTGCAGCCCTTCTAAGCTGCTGGGAAGTTCCCAAAACGAACCCTGAATGTCCAACGTGCAGGGAGTGTAGAGAGGCTTCGTCAAGCGGGGGTTCAGATCTTTCAAAGTCCCTAACATCCTGAACTCTAAATCTTAGAATAAAGAATCGATCCATAGCAGTTCATTCCCTCGCCCAAAATCCTAAACCCTAGCTAAACCTAGTAGTATGGGAGGTCTCGATGTTGGGGCATTTCAGTGCTGAGCCCACCAGAGATTCTACGCCATCCCCATGGCTTGTGCTGAAATCCGTTTTAGGGTTTACCTATAATTAGTCTCCATTGTAGTTCCTTTTTGGGGATTCCTTGTAAAGTCCTTAATATATAATTGGTTAAACCAAAAAAAGGAACTACAATGGAGACTATAGGTAGGGTTTGAGGACGAGGGTCCGCATATGGTCCCGCGTCGCCGCGTCAGTCCCGTGCAGGGCCAAGCCAGGCCTCTCATCCGAGCGAAAAATCACAGGGATGGTGCTCGTCTGCATCATCCTCCTCGTAACCGTCGACGTTTTTTTCTCGCGCAGTCTTCGCAACTTTGTGGCCGTGAATCGCCCGCCCCCCCTCTCCCAGATGAGCATGATGGCGCTGTCGAAACATGTGGACAATAACTCTGATGTGCTTCTTGCATGCTGGTATTCCGAGTGTGACTGTTGGTAGTACCACTGCTCTTATGCTGTTATGGTCTTCGGTGCCGCATGTTCTGTGTGTTTACTCTTTGAAAAGCTTGTCTTGCTTGATGTTCTTTCGTCGTAGCTTGGATCCACCGGTGTCATTCTATGCTAAATTTCGCTTGGGTTCGTTAAAAGTAAGCCTAAGCACGTGGTTGAATGACTTTCAGTAGCAAGGTACCAGAGGAGAGTGCCGATGATGATCATGATCCCCATCTTCGCTATCATCGTCATAATCAGAATCACACAATTAGCTTTGGAGTTCAGGGCGGGTCGGAGTTCAGTCGAATTGTATCATATCCCAAGGCCCAAACCCCCAGCAACCGGACGCCCGACCTGCAACAGTCACGCAAGGGGGCACAGCCAACCACAGTAACAACAACACCACCACCACCGCCACCAGCACCACCAACAACAACAACACCGCCA